TATATATATATATATATATATATATATATATGTATGTATGTATGTATGTATGTATGTATGTATGTATGTATATGTATATGTATATGTATATGTATATGTATATGTATATGTATATGTATATGTATGTATGTATGTATGTATGTATGTATATATATATATGTATATGTATGTATGTGTGTATATATATATATATATATATATAGTTTGAAGTTGAACAAATATCAAAAATAAATTTTTTGAGTTTGAACCATTCTTTTATTTTCCTACACATTTTCTTTCCTGTATTTTCCTCATCTTCTTTCCCCAGCATTTTTCGAGTTCCAAATGGACCCCTGAGGCTTTTTTTGTAATGCAGGAAAGTAGGTGTATAGTGAAGCTGAAACAGTTCCTTCTTAAAGCATGCCCAGACCAGAATGTGCATGCTCTCTACTTGAAGATCAATCTGATGATGTTGGACTCTTACACTATGTTTGGTTCAAGGAATTTGAAAGAAAAAGAAAAGAAAATAGTTTTCCCTCATTTTTTCATCAAAATGGGAGGAATCTGGTTTCCCTCCTTAACTACTTTTTGCCTTTTCATTTTCTTTTCCTTCCACTTTTTTCTTCTTTTCCTTTCCAACTAAACAAAAAAAAATGTATTCTTTCTCATTTTCTTTTCCTTTCCCTCACAAATTCCTTGAACCAAACACAGTGTTAGTTTCCCAACGTGTAGCAAATCTTCCACCACAGCTTTTGCAGTATATAGAGAAAGGATTCCTATCATATTCGGGAATCAAATATAGAAGTTAATTAAAATGCAAAGTCTTATCATTAATGGTCTAACAAGAGTCATACTTGGAAAAGTTTTGAAGAGCAGCATCAATGTTTCACAGACTGCATCCTTCATGTCCCAGTAACTTATGTTTGTATGTCAAAGATATTGTGATTTTGGTGGCAGGTACATTCAGAGTCATATATACTTGGAAAGTTCAATTCAGTAACATTAGTGAAAAAACCCAATGGTCACTATTTCAAGTAGAGTTGATAAATCAATAGCTCAGGTCGGGTTCATGTTTGTGATCACTTTGTATTCAAGTTATTTTAGGTTTGGTTTGAGAGTTACATGTTCATGATTCAGTGTTATCAGGTTCCAATCGATCCAACTGGTTATGGCCATTATTTATTTTTTAAAATTTTAAGTAATTCTGAAGAACCAGTTTTATCACGAATAAAAAAACTAAATACGTAATTTTTTAAAAAGTAAGATAACTATGCGATATCATTAAAATTTGGTGTGAAAATATAAATTTATACATTAAAGGTGTGTGGTAAGAAAAGAAATATAATTATAATCTTATTTTTATAAGATTTTTTTCATATTAGAGCATACTATTTTAAAAAATTCTTACATGCAGATGGATCAGGTCGGATTAGTTTGGGTTTGGCCTATTTCAAGTTCAATCAACTTTCCCTTCCATCAACAAAATACGGAGTATTTGTTAAAAAAAAAGTAGTGTTTTTAATGGGTTATGCTTGATTGATCCCAACATTTGAACCCCAAGATTTAACCTCAGTCTTACCGACATTGCCACAGAACACTGTCGAATGTTTGTAAGGGCACTTACAACGGCGCCCATTTTTTATCCGCCACTCGAAATTCGATGTGGGGCGGCGTTGAACGCCCATTGCAAGTGAGGAGCCGGGTTTTCGTCGCGGCATGCGTCCCACCCCGATGCAGAGCCGGGCTTTGTTTCCAGCTCAAAAATGTGCGACGGCTGTCCATTGTGATCGTCCGCTGCGCCGGAACCCCCCCCCCATTTTTTTAACTTTTTAACTCAATAAATTGAAGACATCTATGTCTTCAATTCATAACTCTCATCTCTCTCCATTCATAACTTTCTTTCCATTTTCGTAATTTCATGTTGTACTCGCTTATTTTTAATTTTTCAATTATTACAATCCTTTTTAATTTTTTAAAATTATTTATCTTTTTTTTCTTAAAATAAAAATTTGTATTAAATTTTATATAAGTTTTGAATTAAAAAATGATAAATGATGTAAAAAAATGGAGAAGTAAGTTTTCAAGATTTTGGGACGAGATGAAAAAATTAGTGGAATGCCTGACCAGAGTTGGGACGGGATGATTTTTGATCATTGTAAATGCTGCTGTGTTAAACCTTGGGGTTAATGGGGTCTCAAGTCTCAAGTTCTCAACAAAGCCGGGTCCGCTTCGTCCCCCTCAGGTGCTTGCCTGCCGCCAACAATGGAGCCGCCGGTGAGAAACAACGCCGGCCCGATTGTCGCCGGGCTCTCGATAGCCGCGGCGGTCTCTTACTTCATCTGCAAGCACACTGAGAAGAAGTCCTCTAGAAGCAGAGAGTCTACTTCTCCGAAAACCCATAAAAATGGCATCGTCGCCGCCATTGGCAACACCCCTTTGATTAGAATCAAAAGCCTCTCAGACGCTACTGGCTGTGAGGTACCATCTTTGTCTCTCTAAATCCCTGTATGTACTAATTTCAGTAAAAAAAATTCCAATAGCTTTTGCGAATTTGTATTTTTTGAGTTTTTTGTGTCATTTACCCTAAACTTTAAAAATTGTACCAATACACCGAATTCCTCCTAAACTTTAAAAATTGTACCAATACACTTTGAACTTTTAAAAATGTTGCATCAATGATCTCTCTACGCCAGATTTGAAAGTGTGTTAATTACACACTCATCTAGTCAAGTATTGATTCATCTAAAGTCATACACTCATCTTTTAATATGTCCTTCCCAAACATTATCTTCCATATTTTTTAATTTCCTTAAACCCTAGATAATTATTCTCGATTTAGTCGTTTGTAACCAAATTCGAAGGCCGGACATATATTGGTAAAACGATAACCTTTTCATCAATCCTTGATATGTTCATCAAGTTCCAACACATATATTGATGAGTGTTTAATTAACGCACTCCAAAATTTGGCACAAAGGGACTGTTGGTGCAACATTTTTAAAAGTTCAGGGGGCATTGGTGCAATTTTTGATTTTCAGGGTGAATTCGTGCAATTTTTGAAAAGTTTAGGGTAACAACAACAACAACATTACCCCAATGCCTCGATGGCTCCCGCCCATTGTGGGGTAAGGGGGGTCAGATGACCCCTATGTTTAAAACATAGAGCGGCTGTTTCCAGTTTAAAACATAGAGCGGCTGTTTCCAGATGACCCATGATGAGTGTCGAAAGTTGCATTGACTAACTGCTACTTCACAATTGCAAGAAGCGCAGACATTTTAAAGAGCCAATTAGCTTTATTCCATCAATACCCCAAAGCCAAATAATAGTGAATCTTTGACTCCATAGGGGAATGGAAATTTTGAAAAGTTCAGGGTAAATGGCCCAAAAATTCTTTTTCTTGCGTGTTTATTAATAAATGCTCAATTGAGTGATTTCGATTGATTAACAGATTCTTGGAAAAGCAGAGTTCTTGAATCCAGGGGGGAGTGTTAAAGACAGGGTAGCTGTGAAAATCATTGAGGAGGTATACTCACTCCATTTTTCTGCCTAGACAGTTTATTTTTTAGAAAATTATGTAGCCCAATGTGAGTGCTTGAGTAGCTTGTGCTCAGTAAAGCACGATACTTGCGTGTTTTAAAACAAGAAGAACAATGTAGTATTGAAGACAATAATACTGTGTTTCTGGACCCCATAAGAGATGATTTTTTATCAACTCCAAGGAAGAGGGTGAAGGAAATACTGCATCTTTTGATCCGAATGCCTTTAGGCACCGATAAACTTTTTTTGCACTTGTCAACTTAAGTTCGTCATATTTGGCCAATATATTGTATTGTTTCGTGATAGACTTAGTTGTGTTTGAGATTTTTCTCAAAATGTTATATGCACATTTTTAAAGTTTAAAATTGAGGCTTACTCCTCAGTATTACTTGAGGCTTATGCAATATGCTTTGAAAAAACAACCTCAAAACTGCGTGGAGTATAGGGAGGGTAGATGTACACAGATCTTACCCTAGCTAAAAAGGTAATTAGATTGTTTCCAAAAGATGAGGTTGTTTTTAAACACTAAATATTATTGAGTACCTCCCAATATATCCCTTCAAATTTGATCTTGAAGTATTAAGCATACACTTAATAAACTTGAGTCTCCAAATATTTGGGCCCTAAGCATCAGCACTTTGAGCATTGGGTCAAGTACAAGTGTGTTTCTGATCCAAGGGTGACTATTTGGCCAGTGCATTGCATCATAAATGCACATGTTAGAGCTCTTTGGTATTGTTTAATTTATAAGCCAGCCTGCTGATAGTGGAGTTTCTGATTGCTTTTCCTATATTTTAAAGACCAAAGATAATTCCTGAGTGATTTTACATTTAACTGTGTCTAATTCATGCCATTTGTATTTTTATTTTGTTCACATTCTTATTCGCTTGATATCTTCAGTTATGGATATTGTCAAAACCCAATAAATTATTTCATTGCCCTTACTGTGCTATTTCCATCTCTCTGTAGTTTGAAATTAACTCATTCCATAAGATTATTGGCTTTTATCATTGAATAAACTTTCAGATGCCTGTAGGTTTCTCCTAGTTTTTGCTGTCTTAGAAATTGACTACCTTTTCGATTATGTTTCCATTCTATTTTTATCTTAATCATAAAGATGGTTGCTTCTTTGAGATGGTTTACTTATGGTTCTAGTTTGTTTAGGCTTTGGAATCTGGATCCCTGAGTGAAGGAGGTGTAGTTACTGAGGGCAGTGCTGGAAGTACCGCCATAAGTCTTGCCACAGTAGCTCCTGCCTATGGGTGTACATGCCACGTGGTTATCCCTGATGATGCTGCTATTGAGAAGGTAATCTTCTCTGGTTTCATATTTGCACATGTTTGTTCGTTCAGAGAGACAGAAGGCCTCACGTGTTATAAATGCAGATTGGCTAAATTTTCCGAAGTATTTTCGTAAATGTATAGCCCTCTCCTAAAAGAAAAGAAAAAACTGAAGTTAGTGAGTCTAACCTTGAGTATTTATTATATCTGATTTCTCACTCTTAAAATCAAGAGTTTATTGGAAGGCTCTTTTGGCATACTTCCAAGATAATTACAATGAAGGTACCTGGTAGTACATTATAATCATCGAGCCTTGAGTAGTTATTATATCTGATTTCTCACTCTTATAATCATCGAGCCTTCCAAATGCGACCTTTCTTAGATGGAGGTACCTGGCAGTACATCTTATAAATAACACTGATTATCTACTATGTTGCTCTATGTAAACATGCCATGTTTTGAAGTTCCTTTTGTACGTGTCTATTTTCCAAACGAGTCTTTAGCTTTTGTAACTAGAACACTGTCGCTGTGCTATTGTTGTGATTCATATTCATTCTAAACATTTTGTGTGCTCTCTCTATTCTTGTGTTTCTGAACAAATCTGCTGTTAGCCTGTTTTATAGTCTCAAATCCTGGAAGCTCTTGGGGCTACAGTTGAAAGGGTTCGGCCAGTTTCAATAACTCACAAAGATCATTTTGTTAATATTGCAAGAAGAAGGGCATTGGAGGCTAATGAGATTGCATTTACAAGAAGCAAAGCAGGCCAAAATTGCACCAAGGATGCAAAACAAATCAATGGTCATCATTTAGCCACTGAGGAAAAACCAACTTCAATATTTTCACGTGACTGCAAGGGTGGATTTTTTGCAGATCAATTTGAAAACCTTGCAAATTTTAGGGCCCACTATGAGGGTACCGGGCCAGAGATATGGGAACAAACTGGCGGGAAACTGGATGCCTTTATTGCAGCATCAGGAACTGGCGGCACGATTGCTGGAGTGTCTTGTTTCTTGAAGGTCCCTTCACTGTTACAAGCAGTTATTATGAGCCCTAAATATGAAGGGCTTGATAAGTTTCTGTCTGATGTTAACAGGAAAAGGATGCAAGCATAAAGTGTTTTCTTGTTGACCCCCCTGGTTCGGGCTTATACAACAAGGTAGTACGAGGAGTGATGTACACGAGTGAGGAAGCTGAAGGACGGAGGTTGAAGAACCCATTTGATACGATCACCGAAGGGATTGGAATCAATAGGCTTACACAAAATTTCAAACAAGCAAAACTTGATGGGGCTTTCCGAGGAACAGACAGGGAAGCTGTTGAGATGTCTAGGTTAGTCAGAAATCCAAATGACATTCGTAATCTGTCTAGTCATCTACCTTACATGTGACTCAATGTAGTGGCAGTGAAAATTTGCAAAATCTTCGCAGCCATTTCCATATCCAATTAGACCAATAAACCCATGATTTTGAATCGGGTGTTGCTATATATCCACCCATTCCACCCCCATTTTGATATAGCCACTCCTCTTATATTAAATGGACAATTTTGTCCACAAAAGTGGCTTTGCATCAAAATTCTCTCTTTTTGTATTTTTGAGGTAAAAATTGTCAATTTAACATTAATGGGGGTGGATATAGCAACACACAGCAACACACTTTTGAAGTTTTTCTTTTTGTGGGTCAAAGATGAAACTTTATTTAAAATTCCTAAGAATCTGGGCTTAGTGGTGTTGGTGCTGGGCAGGTATCTGCTGAGGAATGACGGGCTGTTTGTTGGAAGTTCTTCGGCGATGAATTGTGTTGGAGCCGTTAGAGTGGCACAAGCTTTAGGGCCCGGTCACACCATCGTGACAATCTTGTGTGACAATGGCATGAGGCATCTCAGTAAGTTTTTCAATTCTAAATATTTGTCTCAACACGGTTTGACACCCTCCGCAGCTGGGTTGGAGTTTCTTGGTTTTAGTTGAATTTTGTGCCTCACACATTATTTGGTTCTTTGTATTGATCACTTAGAACTATTATATAGATTGTTTGGCTTACAGTCCTTTACAGAGGATTATGGACTGATTTCAAGAGAACTCCATTGTTTCATTTCACGTGCCAATAGGGAAAATCTGGCAGTCTGGATGGAATGTATACTTGTGCACTTTCGTTTTGTGTTAATAGTTCACACCGACAAAAAATGTTGTTGCAAATTTTTTTTTATCGCACATGTATTTTGTGCTCATATGAATAATCAAAATGATGATACATAGTTTTGGTGTACAATTTGGGGTACACTATCTCCAACATGGTTCCTTAATTTTTCTGAGAAAAAATGATTTTGGATTTCCTCAAGAAAAAAAAGTTTCCTCGTGTTTCATTTCTGATCTGGATTTTTTGCTGTTTTGATGATTAAGAATTTTATAAGCGTGACTTTGATGGTTAATTGTTTTGGTTTTGTGGGTTTGGGGTAATTTTTGGTTTGGGCAAGCATATGCACGACTACGGAGTTATGATTCAGCTGTAGATTTCATAATTTGTTTAATAATGTTTTCAATAAAGGACTATATGTCTTTATTTTTTAATGTAAGACTATTGATTATTATCTACTAGTCATTATTTAAATAAATGTCCCTAATCACTAGGCATTATATTTTTCACTAAACATTATTAAATTCTATTTAGAAATAAAAATGTTTAAATTCCACATTGAGAAAATATCTTATGTTTTAGACATATTTAGGCCTCGTTCTGTTCAACTTATTTTTTCTTATTTTTTCTAATTCTTATTAAAATCAGATCAGATCAAACCAGATCAGATCGAATTAGATCAGATCAGATCAGATTCAATCGGATCAAATCAGATCCAATTAGATCAGACCAGATCAGATCAGATCCCATCAAGAATTATTATTATTATTATTATTATTATTATTATTATTATTATTATTATTATTATTATTATTATTATTCTTGTTGTTGTTATTATTATCATTATTGTTATCATTATTATTCTTAAAAATGAAAAAGAATAAACTTTAGAAACAAGTTAAATAGAAAACTCAGAAAGTAATTCTTAATGATTTGACGTCAGAAAAATTATTTTTAAAATACATTGACAATGTCAATCTAATTCTACTTTTAAAATACATTTTTATTGCTACTTGTAATTTGAGTTTCTAAAGTTTTGATCTTTTATAAGGATTAGATATTTTAATAAAAATATTATCTCTTCTATATATTGATTATCTAAATTTAATTACTTTTTAATGTATATATAAATTAAATATTTATTCTAATGTATATATGAAGTAATTATTAAAATACTAAATTAATATTCTAATTTCACAAAAAACTAATCATAAAATAAAAAATATTATTACATTATAATATGAATGATTATTCTAATATATGAATTAACTAATTTTATTTTATTAAAAAATAATCATAAAATAAAAAACATTGATTATATTATAATATGAATTATCATTAAAATTTTCAAACGTTATTATAAAGTCAAATCAAATTATTGATTTGAATTTTAAATCAAATTATAATTAATCAGATCAGATCAAATCCAATCAGATCAGATCAAATCTCTACACTCGCCTGTAGACAGTATTTGTCTCGTAGCATTTGTCTCTTCTCCTTGGCCATTTGTCTTTGCGACTATCTTCCTTGGCGGGTAGTGCTTGGGTGGGAGAGTGTAGAGAAGCCTACGGGCGCAGAAGAATCCAGCCTGCCCAGTTGCTTCCAAGTTACTATTGTCCAACCGTGCTCGGCTACCAGTACGCACGCCATTACGAGTCCCAAAGACTCACTGGGTTGTTTACACCCAATGAGGGGGGTCAGGGGGGCCCTTTCACCCGGGTGGTTTACACCCATACCACTCATGTGTGGATCTGTCTGAATTGCCCTTCTTACATTGTGACCGGTCCTAACCAGTTGGTTCCTACTGGACCCGACCCAGGTCGGGCCTGGGTGGAGTACACTTATCAATACGTTCTCCACTTCCTGATCTTGTTGGAACTATCGAGGTCAGGAAGTAATTCTTCGAAATCCAAGTACCCCTTCTCCGAGTTTCGGACTCGGGATGCTTTGTTGCCCAAAATTCAAATTTCGAAGTTCAAATTTTTGAGAAATGGCGACCACGTGTTGAAACCCTACCGTTTTGTCTCCTCCATGCCTCAATGATGGCACGCCATCATTACGCCTGGCAGCTGTGATATCCAATGGTCCACATGTGTCGCTCCCTAGGGTCCTTCCACATATATAAGGCTCCTACCCCCCTTCTCTTTCTCATTCCTTCACGTATCCTCTTAAGAGCATTTCCACGTCATTTCTCTCGCCTTTGAGTCCTCCGCACATTTCTCCGGCGCTGCAAGTCCTCAAAGTTCCTTTTCTTTTTGTTTTTCTCTTCTCTTGTTTTTCTTTTGCTTCTAGGCCACCAAAGTTCCACCGCGGAATGCCGATGGTTCAGTGATCATACTAACATACTACACTATCATCATTTTTCCATCATACTGTCAGCGCGTACTTTTACACCACACTGTCATTATACCCTTACTTTGGTCTTAAAAGACTTAGGAGTCCTATTTTGGTATGTTCATACTTTTTTACTCTTATCCAGAAAGATTTTTATATTAATCGCGCTAATCTATGCTAGATAGGAAAATCATATTTTTTGAATCAAAAGGTCGGTTATCCAACTTTTTTAAAATGGCTGCTAAGGAGAATAATCATAGGATCATAATATTTCATTATTATTCTATTTTCTTGAATTAATTCGGGGAAAAAATAACCATATTTTTAAAAATCAATACGGGTGAGGAGAATCAGATTATTGTGGGGGAGAGGAATCACTTTTTTCGATAATCTAAACTGATGCGCGGGGAGGGGGGGGCATCATATGTTTTGCCCATCAGTGACGAATTTATAACAATTGAGTTTTTGAATCAGAACAAACGCCCGTATATCTTAAATCACAAAGTAATTTTATTTTAAAGGAAATTGTATCCTTTATGTTATTGAAGAACATTGATCAACTGTCTGAACTATTTAATAGTATAAAATTATTCATTGAAGAGTTCCGAAAAATTGTTTTTTGCGCAATTGTAGTATTAGGAAACTATGTTTAATATAAGGTTTAGGGGCTGTTTGACAACTTCTGAAGAGGTAAGTGCTTAACCAGTAAGAGGTCTGAACCATTAAGTGCTGAACCAGTAAGAGGTCTGAACCATTAAGAGCTAGTATATTGCTTAACTATTCAGAGGCAAATGTCTGATCAATTCAGATAAGAGGTCTTAACCATTCAGACTCTGTATAATACTTAACCATTCAGAGGCAAATGTCTGAACTATTCAGACATCTGAATCATTAAGAGGCTGAAACAAACAGTCTGAACCATTAAGTGCTGAACCATTCAGACATCTGAACCATTAAGAGGCTGAAACAAACAGCCCCTTACACAACCTAAATGAATTATGTATTATTTCATACATGATTACCCTTGACGTTTGAAAGAATACAATTATTAATAATTTATGTTTTTTATGATTATTGATAAAAATTAATGCCAAATATTGTCATTTATAAACTGTTTTTACCAAATCAAATTCGCTAACGATTAATTTTATATTTTTGTTTCATGAGTGAGAGTAAATATAAGTTTGAAAGTTTAATTTTAGATGCCTTTAATCTTTAAAACATCACAAAAAATTGTTGTATACTTCAAAAAAATTTGAAATGTTCTAATTTATATGAGACTTTGACATGTTAATTTTCATGTATATAGTAAAATTACCATTAGCAACTGTTATACTCCATCCGTTCAGAATTGTTCTTCAGATATTGACTTGACTCACTTTTTAAGACTAGGAAAAAAAGTGTTGACCTTCTAAGAATTTCCCTACTTTACAATTTTACATCTCCCTTTCTTACTTAAAAACCAATAAAAAGTAGATGAGTGGTAAAACAAAAGAGCATTATTGACATTTACCTATAAAATGCATACTGAAAAGGAAATGACAAAAATATTTCTGGACGAACCAAAAAAAAGTGAGAAGAACATTTCCGGAGGAAGTTTGTTTTACCATTAATTTTACTTTTAAGGTCGATGTTTTATTTTATTCGCTATTTGAAAAATGTTGTAGGCCGGAAATTATTTTTTTTTTAAAAAAAATTGTTCCACCCCGTGCGTCGCACAGGTTAAAATACTAGTTTTACAAAATCATACACTTTACTACTCGTTTTTGGTGCATAAATTTATATTCTCTGACAAAATTTTAATGATATTGCCTAATTATCTTACTTTTTCCAAAACTTAAACATTTTTTAAATTCTTTATATTGATTTATATATCTAAAAATTACTTCAAAATTTAAAATAAAATAATCTAATAGATTTAATACTTTTTTTGATACTTTAAAATTATTAAATAGAAAATGGAAGTGTTAATGTAAATTTAAAAATTAAAAAAACCAAAGTCATAACCCATTGGGTCGACCCGAACCCGATGACACTGGGTCATGAACATACAATTCTCAATCCAAATCCGAATTGACCCGAATCAGAAATAATTCAGACTCGAAGTAACTGAACCCGAACTGACTGACCGATTTACCAGCTCTAATAATAGTATACTTGTACAAAAATAGGACGAGGGAACAAAAAAAACGAGCGAATATAGAGTCAACGGTAACAAGACCCCGAATTAAGGGGAGACAAGGACGAAAGCAGGGAGTGGGGTTTTCCAGTTGCCGGTTAATCATCCGAGTGTTGCACAAAAGGTGGAATCCCGACCGTTCCTTGGTTCCAATGTCAAGCCAATCACCACCGTTCGATCCGCTCCCATCATCACAAGATTCCGCCCACTATCAGCCACGCCATTCGCAAAATTTTAAATCCGGATTTCAAGTCCGCGGTATAAAGAACCCCCAAAAAAATTTCCCGACCCTCCAAAACTTCTCGTTTTCGGATTGTGACTTTTTTTTTAGTTGATAAACACGAGCTCTGATACGATTGCTGGCCCATCTTTCTGAATCTTGAGATTGAGCTTCGCAGCATCTGTAAGTTCTTTCTGTTGTTTTCTTGATTTTTTAATTTTTCAAATGGATTTCTGTGGTTCGTTGGATCATGCGCCAGACTTTCGATCTCTCTGTGTGATTTGATGGGTATGATTTTGTGTTGATGCTTGGGGTTCGTTAATTTCCCTTAAAAAATGGAATCTTTAGTCGTTTTATTGATTTTAAGTTTGATAATCTGTTCTCTGGGCGCCCCGAGTGATATTAATGGGAAAGTAGATCTCTTTATTACTGTCTTAATTTGGTGGTTTCGTTACTTTAGCCTCTGTACGAATAAATCGTCAAAATATCTTTTTTTCATGTGTAGACTTACGATTTTGCCCAAGAACATGCAATTTAGGGTTTTACATCGATCTTGACTTAGATTTTCTGCTGTGTAAGTTTTTGGTACCAGGAAACAGTACTGTCTTGCTGCTGTAAGCTATGGGGGAGGGAGATGCGTCTGAATTATCCGAGTCAATGGTGAATGGCGATGTGGCAATGGTGGAAAAGTGTGAAACTTTGGCGGATAGAAAAGATTCGGACAGCAGTGGTGTAAAGGAGATGGATGAATATAGCAAGGATGTTGATACACATTATGTGGATAAAATGGATGTAGATGTAGGGCATGTGAATGAAAAGGACATTAAAGATGAAACAAAAGAAAACAGAGACGAGGGCGTAAAGGAAGATGATGAAAACATGGAGGACAAGGCTGAGGTAATGACTGGAGAGGTAGCTGTGGAAAATCCCGATGACACTAAAGACAAGGAAGAAAAAGAGGCTGCTGAAAGTGATGATAAGGTGGAGAAAGATGCTGAAGAGACTAATGATAAGGTTGGCAAAGAGGCTGGAGGAAGCGAGGATAAGGTGGAGAAAGAAGCTGATGAGAGTATGGATAAGGTTGAGAAGGAGGCTGAAGAATCTGAGGATAAGAGTGAAAAAGAGGCTGACAAATCTAAGGATAAGGTCGAAGAAGAGGCTAATGAGATTGAGGTTGGAAAAGAGGCTGATGAGAACAAGAATCTGGTTGAAAAAGAGGATGATGAGAATGAAGATGTTGAAAAAGAGTCTGATGAGAATGAAGATGTTGAAAAAGAGTCTGATGAGAATGAAGATGTGGTTGAAAAAGAGGCTGATGATAATGAAAATGCTGAGAAAGAGTCCGATGAGAATGAAGATGTGGTTGTAAAAAAGCCTGATGAGATTGAAGATGTAGTTGAAAACAAGGCTGCTGAGAATGAAGATGTGGTTGAAAAGGAGGCTAATGAGAATGAAGATGTAGTTGAAAACAAGGCTGTTGAGAACAAAGGTGTGGTTGAAAAGGAGGCTAATGCAAATGAAAATCTGGTTGAGAAAGAGGCTGATGAAAATGAGGGTGTGGTTGAAAAAGAGGCTGATGAGAATGAGGATATGGCTGAAAAAGAGGTTGATGAAAATGAGGATGCTGATGGAGAAGATGTTGATGACGATACAGAGATGCCTGAAAAAGAGACTGATCTGCCAAAAGATGAAAATGAAAGTGATATCATTGAAGGGTCTAGTGCTGATATAGAATCAAAGAAGAATGCTAAGTTGAAAAGTAATCCTGTGGAGAAAGACAAAAAGAAGAAGAAGACAACTGAAGATAAGAAAGAGATAGTTCCGAAAACTCCAACTGCGCCTACAATTGAACGTCCTGTTCGTGAACGAAAATCAGTTGAGAGACTTGTTGCATCCATTGAGAAAGATTCTGCCAAGGAATTCCGTATAGAAAAGGTGTTTAATTAGTTTTATTCATTTTCCTCAATTTTTGGTTAAATAAATTCAGATTCCATACCTACGTGAAGGCATGCCTATTGTTAACTCTGTTACTGATGTAATGTGGTGTACAGGGACGTGGAACTGCACTCAAGGACATTCCAAATGGTATATAATTTAAGCACTTGTGTACTCTATGTTCTTAGATCCATTTATGGTAATATCAATCATGAACATGACTCATTGTGACTATCATATCTTAGTTGCTGCATCAGAATGTCTTACTAGTCATCCATAGTTGTTATAGGTGTGCCTGAGGCGCCAGGCGCACAAGGCACATGAGGGGCAGGGGTAGGTGCATCGCTAAGGATGAGGCTGGTGATGATTGAAGGCTGTGCGCCTAGGTGTACATCAGCGCCTTATGTGCACTAAGTGAGGCGCAGCGGAGGCGTGCCTCAAGGACTAATTTTTTTGTAACTAATAACCAAAAAACTCATTCTAGGGTTATTTAGTTATCATCATCTTCTTTGGTTGTTCCTACCCTTTTCTGTTTTATCTTATACTACGTATATGTTTGTACTAGTATTTTTGTATGTTCTTTTGGCCCCTTTCTGGTATTTTTAACTTTGAAATTCAGCATAGTCGTATTTGATTTTGCTTAGTTTTTTGTGGTCTGTTTCTCTCTCCCTCTTTTCACACATTATATTGGCACATTATTATTTTTTAAATATTTTGAATACCTTTTTCACCATGGAAGAAAAAAGCTTGATTTGTTATGAGATTTGCTAATTGTACATTACTTTAAAGTTCAAACAATGAATTTTATATCATCACCTGTTATTTAGGCTTCATTTTTAATGTGAATTTAGCTTTGTATGTGTTTGGGTAGTTTTCTTATTAATCTGGAATATGCTTCTCTTGTTCCTCCTTTGCACCTTATCAAGGGGTGTCCCTCAAATGTGCCTTGTGCCCTTAATAACTGTGATAATATCTCATTTTTGTTTATCTGGACCATATGAAAAGTTTGTTAGTCGGTCACACACATTACGTTTGTTTATCTGGACCATATGAAAAATTTTTGTTTATCTGGACCATATGAAAAGCTTTTGTTTGCATATTTTCATTGGTCATTTGATAAAATAAAATATTCTTGTAACCTCATGTTTTATAAAACTTTTGATGTAATTTTTAAATATGTAATTTGCACTTATTATTTCTATGCCAATTTGTAAACAAAATAGTTTTAAAAGAGATGAGATTTTATGCATTGTTCAAATAGAGATGATAAATTTGGGACAGAGTTAGTATAAATTTGCATTCTACAAGGTCCTACAATACACCTATGTTGTTGAATTGTTCATGACTGTCTTACAATTTCACCAAACAAATTTTGTTTCAGTGGCATATAAATTATCCAGAAAGAAGACTGAAGATACCTTCAAACTGCTTCATAATATACTCTTTGGAAGGAGAGGAAAGGTATGTTCTAAATCTTAGTTTTTTATCATTGTAAAATTTTCTTATTCTAGTTTTTCTGATTTATGCTTATCATTGTTGTCTTAACCTTTTTATTATAACTTTACAGGCTGCTCAATTTAAGAGTCATTTGTCACGGTTTTCTGGTTTTGTGTGGCATGAGAATATGGTAATGGGTGGCCATGTTGCAGAAATATTCCACATCAGTAATATATTTGGAATTACATTTCTTAAGGATCTATGTGATGAACTGTTATTATTGTTTTCACTGTAGGAAAAACAAAGGCTGAAAGTTAAAGAAAAGTTTGACAAGTTTGTAAAAGAAAAATTGTTGGAATTTTGTGATGTGCTTGACCTACCTGTTGCTAAGACAACATCAAAGAAGGTTTGGTGACTTTATCTTTCCACTTTCTAGAAATGCTTGAATTTTTTATGTGTGAGAGTATGTTAGACTCATTGTAAATGCAAAGATAGTGTATGCGTAATATTTTTAATTTTTTTGGAACTTCAGTAATGTGTTTTTTTGGATAAACAGTGATTTCATTGAGTTGTTAAAACTGCAGCGAATGGGGGTAAACTATTAATGCATGGTGTCTAATTTCAAGATCCCAATGAACAGAAATCCTTGTTAGAAATTGTGCTTAGGCTGTCTCCCTATCAATTTGTCCTATAGTGTTTTGAGGCAACCCCTTGTTTTTTGTCAATCACAGGAGGATTTAGTGTGGAAGCTGGTGGAATTTTTGGAGGCCCCTCATGCTACGACTTCTGAGCTTCTTGTTGAAAAAGAGCAGGTTGTAGTACCACATCAGCTTATGATCTTTTGGTTTCATTTCTCATTTTCCCAATTTATGCCTGTAACTCTTATCTTCTCTTATGCAGTCAAGTAAAGGAAAGCGTAAGAGGCCTAGCAACAAAAGTGGATCATCAGCTTCTGGGAGTTCAAAAGGCTCAGCTAAGGTATAACTGACTGAGTTTTGTTATGTGTTTTGACGAGTGTTCAATAAGAGCTCAAAGTAGATATAATTAATATTCTTTGTAATCCTAACTACAAATCTGTTCTGTTTGTGTAGTCTATTTTGATCAAAAAATGATTTTACATTGTAGTCATCATTCTCAACCGTTCTACATATTGTTTCTTTTTCCATGGCTAGTTCAAATTATTGTTAAGCAAACACGCATATAATTTCTTTGAAATAAGAGAAGAACCTGAAATTACCCAAATAGAACTCTACAGAGTCCACCCCCCCCCCCCTAAAAAAACCCCTCCCAAAAATTGGCATTGGTCTGTAATTCTCATTCAATCTGAAGCTTGCTCTTCATTGCCATTTATAGATTAGCAAAGTTGGCATTCAGTGACTAGTCTCTTTGCTTTTGTTCTGCAGATTCCAAAGCTTGAGAGTTCATCCAAAAAGGGCGAGAAAAAAGACGATTTACATGAATCTGAAAATGAATCAGAAGATGAGCATGAAGAAAAGGCTAATGGCACTTCGGACAGATCAGATGATGAGATGTCAGACCATGCTGATAGTGATAAGAAAGATGGATCTGAAGATGAGCGTGAGGAGGATAATAAAGAGCAATCAAGGTCAAAGAAGACAACATCAAAGGAATCTGAAGATGAGGCTGAGGAGGATAAGAAAAAGCAACTGAGGTCAAAGAAGTCAGCTACAAAGGGATCTAAAGATGAGTCTGGCATGGATAAGAAAAAACAACCAAAGGCAAAGAAGTCGGCACGAAAGGAATCCGAAGACGGGTCTGATGATAAGAAAAATCAACTGAAGTCAAAGAAGTCAACATCAAAAGAATCTGAAGACGAGTCTGATGCAGATAAGAATAAGCAACCAAAGGCAAAGAAGCCAACCCCAAAGGAATCCGAAGATGAGTCTGATGCTGAGAAGAATAAGCGTTCAAGGGTGAGGAAGTCAGCACCAAAAGAATCTGGAGAAGAGTCGGAAGAGGATAAGAAAAAGCGTTCGAAAATAAGGAAATTAGCACCAAAAGAATCTGAAGATGAGTCTGAGGATGATCAGAAAAACCACGAAAACAAGTCAAAGAAGGTGCAATCAAATGGATCTGATGATGAATCTGATGATGGTGAACCAAAGAAAAAACAAGCTTCTACAAAATCATCATCAAAGAAGGATTCTGCTGGGAAGTCCAAGACCAAGAACACATCAACCCCTAAAAAACCTAGCGTGCCCAAAAAGACTGCATCAAAAACTTCAAGTCATACCAAATTCAATGATGACGCAAGTACAAAATCATCCTCAAAGAAGAAAAAAAGTGAAACAGCAAAAGAAAAGCCCCAAACTCCAAAGAAGGCAGCTTCTAAAGAGAATAAAGGCATGAAATTTGATGTTCTTGTTCCCTAATCTCCTCACTTAAATTTGAACATGTGGTCTCATTTTGTTATGATCAACATGCATTTAAGTCATTCCTAACCCTGTGCAAGAAGAACTGCATTGTATTTTGATAATCTTGATGTCTATTTTTATACATTGAGTTTTTTATTTCAGGGAAGAAGGTTGTGAAAGCAAAGGATTCCCCAAAAGAAGTTCAATTAAAGCCATCTGATGATGTTTTGAGAGAATCCATTTGTGAAATCCTTAAAGAAGTTGACTTCAACACGGTGAGGATCTGATGTTGATCATATCATTAGGCTGAATTATATCTGAATATGAATTTCTTTATATTCATTAGTTGAAAATTGAAACGATTACATTTTTCATTCAAATATTTGGAAAATATTGCTCTAAACATATATGTAGCATGTATATACCCGTAGTATATATCTTTTTGTATTAAAACACATTTAGGATCATGTTAAAAGATCTTTGGACTATCATTTTCCAACTGAAATTAAATATGACACGCATCACAACAATAGCCTTTACTCACAAGTGTAATTCATTCGAGCTGTGTTATTTTTCTGATACCCACAAATAACTGGCCTTTTCCAATTTGATATTGCAGGCCACCTTCACGGACATTCTAAAGATACTTGGTATATCCATGACTTCCTAAATGATAATAATATTACTCACAGTAATTTTATTCAATATGCAGAAATAAAGTTATGCTCTCCTCATAAATGATTTTCTGACATTGTTGCAGGCAAGCAGTTTAACAAAGACTTCTCATCAAGAAAGGCTTCTATAAAACTCATAATCCAAGATGAGCTCACCAAGCTAGCCGAAGAGGGAGACGAGGAGGAAGATGAAGCTGGTGGTGCCTCCAAGGATGAAACCCAGCAGCCTTCCAGTCATGGCGTAGAGGCCTGAAACACACACAGCGCGGTTTGCCAATGCCTCCACCCACTCATGCCTTAAATGTTGTGTATTTTGTCTTTTGGATTACCCGAACTTCATCATCTCCTAACCGGTGTTCCATCCGATTGTAACCATGGTTTGATTAGGAATTCTGAAGTAGAAATGTCCTTGAGCTTTCTCTCTCTCTGTATTAATGCCAAGGCGTTCTCCTCCTGTAGCACTAGAAATCTGTAGGATTTTTGGTTTTAGTTTTTTTCTTTTTAAATTTTAAAGTATAATTAGCTGAGTGTTTACAGAGATTATAAAGACATGGTGCTCCCAACATTTGTCATGGTTCGCCAGCTACTAAAAGCCTTTCTATATTCTTGCAAATGCTGTAATAATCCAGGATGACATTGCTTTTGAATTCTCTCCTCTATCCTCCCACTAGCTCTTTCTATCATCTTTATTTACTGTGATGAATTCTTCTATTCTGAAATCTGTTTTCAAGGCACCTAAAAGTCTGCTTGGATTTTGTGATTTTTTTTTGAAAATGTTACAGAATATCTGATGGAATCATAGCATTAGTCCATGTGTCAATTATTTATTCTCTTACAAGTAAAAAAACAAACTACATACTATAATATTAGTGTTTATTACACTATACACCTCCTATATACTCCGTTTATAAAAAGAAAAATTGGAAAATAGTAAGGGGAATTTTCCAATGTAGTACCATATGTTTTTATTTCTCTATGTAATATCACTAGTCATTGTACACTGGTCATCGTTCAAGTAAATGCTCGCCGCTAGCCACTGGACATTGTTCAAACTAAATGTCCACCATCACCGAACATTGTTTCCGTCATTAGACATTATCCAAGTACTATTTAAAGAATAAAAAAATGTAAGTACTACATTGGGAAATGACATATGTTCTATTACTATTTCGTGCAAATTTAACTCACCTAAGCACAATCAACTGTTACTATATTGTACTCGTAACAAAATAAGGTCATTTGGCACATGATATTAGGAGATTTTGCCGATAGAAAAGGAGATAAATAAAGCCAGCTCGGCATAATATTTGAGATTGTTAATAATAGGCTTAGAGTCAAACATTTTTAAAAGTTGAGACACTCATAAATGCCATGTAGAAAAAATGTGCTGAAGGACAATTTTACCTTTGAAATATGGCACTTTTTTTCAATGATGTCACAACTCACAAGATGTTAGACCGGAATTACTGACCATTTTTTGTTTATATTTAATTGATTATTATAATTTTTGAAGCACATCAAGAATTAAATACTCAAGTAAATATAAATATACAACAGATCTATATTAATTAATTTTTTATAAATCTCAAAAGTCATAATGATCAAATATGAATGTAGGAAGTATTTGATTTCTCCGTCCTGATTATTTTTTTCATTTTTCGATAACGTCTAAAATTCAACTTTGCAATTTCTTATTTGGAATTCCAAGCCAAACAAAATGACCTTAAGCACACTAACTCGTTTTTAATGCATACCCATCCCATTAACATCAAACACGACCTTATTTTTACTATATTCTTTTATTCCACACTTATTTTTAATAAAAAAATATTTATTTTATACTTTAATTTTCTATTATACTCACATTTATGTGTAAAATATAAAACTTAATTGACGAGTACATTTGTTAAAATAACAAGAAGTTGCGGACATAAGAATAAAGGACCATGCTACACTTACACCAAAAAATATACCCCATTTGTACACCACAGGTTTGCACAAACATTTCGATGGTTTACACCGACACAAGTGTTGGTGCGTTAATAAAAATTCACACGGACACAAATGTTGGTGCGTTTAACAAAAATTAGTTTTACACCAACATAAAGTGTTGGTGCAAAACTGTGGGGTACAAATTGGGGTACAAACCTTGGGGTACACATAGCATAATCCAAGAATAAATATGACCGGGGGCACTGTTATATTAATGGGTAAGGCAGGTTTCGTGGGCAGCACATCTTGTTTTTAATGTCAATTTAAAATAATGAAAAATAAGTAAATTTTATCTCAAACAATTACTCAAATAAGTAAAAAATTAATTGAAACATAGAAAAATATAATAAGAAATACTTTGTATATCATAACTTAATATAAATATAAATTTCATATATTTTATTTTTATATTTTTTTAAAATGTTACATTTTTTGGACTTTATTTTAATATTTGACTGTGGGCACATAGTACTTTTTGCCGGGAAGACACACTTAATTTATTAAACTTTTTAATTATTTTTATACTATATATTTAAGAAAAATTGATCGAAGGCGGTGCTCTCGGTACACTACCCGTAGATCCGCTAGTGGTAACAAGTATGTTTGCTATAAATAACAATTGAGTTTGTTAAAATAACAATTTGAGGAATGCTAGGGTACACCATTTGTACATCATCAATCTTAACCTTTCATTTCTTTTTTCATTTTTAAATTCTTTTGTGAAATTTGCACTAAATAAGACTAAAACATAATGACTTTCCTAATCTAGGACTTAAACTTTTTTATTCCTTAAATAGGACTTTATAATGTCTTCGTGGAAGAAATAATGCCCAGCAATGATAGACATTACTTGAATAATGACTAAAGAATAATGACCAAAGGTCCTACATTCGAAAATAAGAACATATGGTCCTATTTTGGGAAAGTTATTATATTTTAGTCCTATTTAGGTAAATTACTCAATTCTTTTTCCTCTCTTGCTTTTGTGTGGTAGAGTCGTAGAGATGGAGGGGTACCCCAAATGGAGTACCCCTACTTTTTTCTAACAATTTTGTTAGTATAATTTAGTTTTCCCATTGTAGTGCATACAAATTTAAAAAAATTAAAGATAAGGTATTTTTTAACATAACTTTATTTGGGAAGGAGGAGGATGTAAAAATTGTCAAAAACACTCATCTTTTTCCACAGAGGAGCAGCTGCACAATCATAACCGTTCTTCTCTCTGATTCCATACATTTCTTAGAGACTGCCTTCATTTTCTATCTCTCTCTCTCTCTCTATACAGTAATTGATCTCTTTTTTCTTTCTCCTCCATTGTTAAAGCATTTCTTCTCCCCAGCTAAAGCAAAGACTGAAGACCCTTAAAAGCACTGATACTTGTGACTTGAAAGTACCATCTTTTCTGGCTGCTTTTATCCATCACTTTTGAACAGGTCCAGAGGTTTGCCTGGTGGGTTTCTTTCTCTATGCACCTTTGCTTTGTTTTTTACCATCTGGGACTTTGTGGGGTTCTGAAACCCTGTCCTGGTAGGGTTCCCCTCCTACAAAGAAGTGGTGGGTCTTTGTCCAAGATCTGAGTGCCTCCATTGACCCTTTTTCTTTTGCATCTCTTCTTGATCATCTAATTGTTTCTATGCTCTCATCTCTGTTCCATGGCGGTTTGCTTTAGAGAAACTGCATTCTGATTTTTGTGTACCTGTTGATTGTGTGTGTGTATTATTACTGTATCTAGCTAGTTATTCAAGGATCTCATCAATTCCTTGAGCAAAGATCGAATTTTTAAGGTGGGACTTCTTGTATTCTGTGGAATCTTTGTTTTTTCTGATGTTGATTACACTGATCTGCTTCTGCAACTAGGTTGATTTTCTAGTCAAATGATAAAGTTTTTATCTGACTTTCAAGGCTTATTTTCTTCTTTGCTCCCTCCCCAATTTTTTATTTGTAGAAATCATTTCAGAATTTGTCTTAAATCTGCATAATTGAGCTGTTTTTTTTATACTTATTACTGCATGATGTGTGTGCATAAATCGATTGAATGTGTGGGTAAAGCTGATTTTCTTAGTTTTTGTGACCATAAAGGCTTGCTTCAGTCCTAGATGGAGCCAAGCTCTGGAGCTTAAAGATGTGCTTGGGAGGGAACCAGCTAGTCAGTCATTCCATCTGGTTTTGTTCCAATGGCTTCACAAATCTCTAGTTTAGACAATCTGAGTTCCAAAGAGTTTCTTGGTCGGGTTCAAGAAGTTTCGACGCAGCTTAAGGCGGTCACCAGGAAGCCACACAACACCCAACAGAAGGAAGACGCTGATTGTCTCGCCGAAACCTTGGATTCGAGCCTGTCATTAACTAAAAATGCTATTGGACATGGCAAGAAAATGAGCGAGCACGCGGAGTTCATGGAGAGTGGGAAGAGCAGCATGTATAGGGGGAGCACAAGCACGGACATGAGTGACGAAAGCACCTGTAGCACCTTGAGCAGCAGTGTCAACAAACCTCACAAGGCAAACGACTCAAGATGGGAGGCCATCCAAGCTGTGAGAGCCAGAGACGGCGGCGTCTTGGACCTGAGGCATTTCCGGCTGCTCAAGAAGTTGGGGAGCGGCGACATTGGGAGCGTGCATCTCTCGGAGCTGTGTGGGACCAAGTGTTACTTTGCCATCAAAGTTATGGACAAAGCTTCGCTCGCCAGCCGCAAGAAACTGATTCGCTCCCAAACGGAAAGAGAGATTTTGCAGTCTTTGGACCACCCGTTCCTTCCAAGCTTGTATACCCATTTTGAGACCGAAAGGTTTTCTTGTCTCGTGATGGAGTTTTGTCCCGGCGGTGACTTGCACATGCTCCGGCAGAGGCAACCCGGAAAGCATTTTTCCGAGCAAGCCGTCAAGTATAACTCTTCACCTCTTCGTTTTTTGACTGCTAATTTATAGTTCTTTGAATGATTGCTAAAAATCTCAGATGACAATCACAGATGATTTTATACATACACAGACGAAATATGTTGTAACGATGAGCTAGGTTGCAGGTTCTATGTAGCAGAGGTCCTTCTAGCTTTGGAGTATCTCCACATGCTCGGCATTGTCTACCGCGACCTCAAGCCGGAAAACGTGCTCGTGAGGGAGGACGGGCACATAATGCTCTCCGACTTCGACCTCTCCCTTCGGTGCGCGGTCAGTCCGACGCTGGTCAAGTCTTCGTCTTCCCTCGACGCGGACCCGCTCAAGAGGAACTCTCCCTATTGCGTCCAACCCGCGTGCATCGAGCCCTCCTCGTGCATCATCCAACCTTCGTGTGCGGTCCCCACGACGTGTTTTGGGCCCCGCTTTTTCTCGGGCAGCAAGTCGAAGAAAGAGCGGAAGCCCAAGAACGAGGCGGGCAACCAAGTGAGCCCGTTGCCGGAGCTGATTGCCGAGCCAACGGGGGCACGGTCCATGTCGTTTGTCGGGACCCACGAGTACCTAGCGCCCGAAATCATTAAGGGCGAAGGGCACGGCAGCGCCGTGGACTGGTGGACTTTCGGGATCTTTCTGTACGAGCTGTTGTTCGGGAAGACGCCTTTCAGGGGACCCGACAACCGGGCCACCCTATACAATGTCGTGGGCCAGCCTCTGCGATTCCCGGAGTCGCCCGTGGTCAGTTTTTCGGCCCGAGATCTAATCCGAGGCTTGCTCGTCAAGGAACCGCAGGGCCGGCTGGCATTCAAAAGGGGAGCCACGGAGATCAAGCAACATCCGTTTTTCGAAGGCGTTAATTGGGCTTTAATCCGTTGCGCGAGCCCGCCGGAGGTCCCCAGGCCGGTCGATTACGAGAGAATCGAAGCTCCACCGCCGCCGCCCTCAACCGCCAAGAATGTTGCCGGAGGAGCTCCCCTGCATCGCCATCATCATCATCAACCTTCCGACAACTATCTTGAGTTCGATTTCTTCTAAGTTTGCTCATCTACATACATCGCCCAAACTTGGTTGTTTAAAAAAGAAGAAAAGAATATTGTTTGAATTGGATGTGTGAAAATGCTGGCCTGGTGGTCAATGATCATATTGTCTTGTTCATGTTATTGTTAAACGGTTCAGTTTTGTTGTATTGCAAACACTCTCAGAAGCGCTTATGGCGTCGTTCCAAAATGTCAAGTTTTTTAGAGTCTCCTTTGAAGTGTAGAGCGATTGCCATCTGTTGTCTGTCATGGTGTTCTTAATGGTGGCAGTGGTCGCCATTCGCCAATGGTGATGGGGTTAGGGGCGGGGTTTTCAGCAGAGGTTGCCAACAGTTGTGGGGTCATGCATGCACCATGCAACGACAAAGTGGAGTGGGTTTCAAATTTACAATAATGAATGTTGTGTATCTATGGCGGTGGTTATGGTGGCAGGCAGTTGCAGTGGAGGGCGGAGGGTGGTGGTTGCTTGTTGGTTGGCGCGCGGTGCCATGGCTTTCAAGGTCCCAGGTAGGCCTATCAAGGGTGAATTACGTGTTTGTGTAAAAAGGGTGCAACTCATTTAATGGGTCCGGTATAGACCTAAACAGTAAACCCATATAATATGTGTAATTTTTAAAGGATTTAGGAATATAAGCACAAGAAATATTTTTATACTAAATAATACTCCCTCTGTCCCCCTAAGATGTTCTCCTTTTGACTTTTGGTGGTTTTTAAGGAGAGTTAAAAAAATGTGAAAGTTTACCATAATACCCTTAATGAAATATGGGTGGAGTGTATTAAATGAGGTGGTGAGGTGTAATAAATAAAGTAAGTGGGGGTAGTTGTGGTATTTTAATTGTTAAAAAATGAAATGAGAAGATCTATTGTGGACAAAGAAAAAGGGCTATTGAGAAGATCTATGGGGGACGGAGGGAGTACTAAAACTTAAGTAATTTTCCTAAATATAACTTAAATAGCACTTAATAATGTCCAGTGATAGTGAAAATTTACTTCAATAATGACTAATGTATAATGACTACTATTAGTGCTACATTGGAAAAAAAATACATGTGATGGTATTCTGAGAAAATTATTATGTTTTAATGCTATTTAAGTAAATTCCCTTATAAACAACACCGTTCACTGACACCGGTTATTTTTTTTAAATAAAAGGTCTGGGTTAGGACGAGTAGTCTCGACCCATTTAAAACTTGTACCAGTTAAATAAAAAAAGATGAGCCCCATCCCCCATGGCTCCCTTAGACCCAGCCGGACGGTCATTGAGAGGAATTGAATTAGACTTTAATCGCGGATTGGTGACAAAGAATGGAGCCTGCATCTGGTACTTGCAGAGGCCCTATGATTAGCATAGTTGTCTCCTAGTGCAGTTACTAGGAATCGAACTCGGGTCTTATCTTCTTGGCACCCCTTGCCTTGGCAACTGCGCAATGCCCACCGACACTCGTACCAGCTAAAAAAATGGATAACACTCCACCCGCTCTAAATTGTTTTCCACATTTCGAATGGCGTGCAAAATATCATTTCTTTTAATTTCATTTTATTTACAAATTGGTAGAGAATAAAAAGTAAAAATTACATTGTTCAGAAGTACATCAAAAACTTTACAAAACAAGATGTGACAAGAATATTTTATTTTATCAAATAGTCAACGAAAACGAGTAAACAAACAAAATTATCGAGAGACCAAAATAGTAACTGCTGTATTCTTTTTTAAACGGAGTGAGTATTAAATATTAGAAAAACCTACCCCCTTCTTCGCTAGCTGCATGACTTCCAAATCTATTTGTTTGTATTTATTTAACCACATTAGAGACATGCACACGTTAGTTTATGGAGTCATATGAAATAAATAGTTTTGAATTAGTTGTAATGTGATAAAGAAGATTCTTGCAATATGAATGAATGTGACAAGAAGACTGATTACGAATCTAAGATTTTTGTTGCAGACTATTGGTAAAGAAGGTTTATTTTTGTTGCAGTCAGTCTAATTTTTGTTTTTATGTAATTAAGATGTTTTTCATTCATAATATTTTCACTAATTTTTTTCAATTATACAAAAATAAAAAATGTTAATTTTTATCACGGATATACCCGACCCGATATCGAAACTTAACGCGTTTAAATCTAGGATTAAACTTCAAAGTCCGTCGAATAAATGCGTACGGATCAGAATCAATTTTTTAAAAGAACAGAGGTATGGAACACCATGGACCGATCCAAACCCGACATATTGATAGGCCTAACCCCAAGTCCCAACAATAGTAGTGATTTCAAGTGTTTCATGGTTGACTTGAGACTCGAACAGTGTTGGAATCATATTGGATTGTTGTGATTTAAATATTTGAAAATCAAACGAGAAATCAATTACTTCCTCCGGTCTTATTAGATCGAGTCTATCCCACATTAAAAGTTGAATAGAAAAGTAACATGTATATAAGTATTTGAGTTGAAATAAGTAATTGATTGGATTTTTCAGCATCTTGTCTTCAAGCTTCCTTACCAAACGGTACAATCGACGCAGTCACACATTCACTCAAATTTTATCATAGCTTTCTCGTCATTCATTTATTTCTTGTAATAAGGATAGTTCTAAAGGTCTTTGCCGTTTGTGGCGACTTTCGAATATTAGTCATCTTCAATTTTATAATTTACTATTGCACTATTTGATATTTTTCCCCGTACTTCTATTTCTAGTCAATTCGGTTATACGGAGTAACTCATAAAAAATACATGGTTCTAATGAATAACTTAATCTAGTACGATGGGGTTACCCAATTTAAATTAGAATTGTTTACAAGGTTTACTAGTTTTATCAATTGTCAAAAATATGCAATTTCAAAGACACATTTAAATCTTTTCAATGTGGCTTTGGGATGAATTTAGTGTTTTGATTTTAAATTACTAATGATTCATCCACTCAAGATTATCATCTCCACTTTGTTATTCAATGCTCACTTGCCTCCATATCTTCATAGTGAAATTTAAATTAAATAGTACTAAAACATATTGGAGTATGTCATTTAACAATGTTGTAAAACTTTTTTATTTCTTAAATAATACGGAGTACTTGAATAATGTTTAGTGACAAGAATAATATCCAGTAATGATGAATATTTAGTTTGAACAATGTTTAGTGGCGGTAAACATTTACTTAACTAATATTGAGCAGACAATGACTAGTACTACAGATGCAACAAGGGCGGTTCGCCGGTTCCTACCTCACTACCATTAGTCCCTAACCGGCCCTTGAGCACAAATGCAAAACTCAGCATCTTTTAAAAATAAAAACAACCCCTCTCCATTGCTTAGCTCCCTCAATGAAAATGGAGGGAAAGCTTACTGGTTCACCGCACTTTGAAGTATTGAGAAGAATGAAAGGCAATATCAGCTCTCTCGTAAACTGAGATGAAAGAATTCTACTCCGTTTCTCTTTTAGACATTATTCCCTGCATTTTTTTGTTTTTGACTCAAAATGAAGAAGATCATTATATGTGACTTCAGCGTACTTTTGCAGAGCTTACTCGATCTATTGTTGAAGATCTCGCGAACAACCGCTCGCCAATCATTCGCATTGATCGGTTCAGAAATTACTGCTCAGATGATTCTGGAAATTGGTTAGATTATTGAACACTCATTTTCACCATCGATTTCCTAATGGCCTTAAAAATTTCTGTTCGGGATCGAATGACGTCTATGTTCCATCGATTCAGATTTCAAATCTTATGGTTTTGCGTTTTGGGGATTAGTTTTGGGATTATTTATTGTTTAGGTGTTCACTGTAATTGTCCCTTTCTACAAAGTACTCCGTTCATAGTTATGACTAGTGAATTGTGTTAAGCCCTACTATATTGTGAGTCAAGCCACAATCCTTCATGCTAGGGCCTAGTGGCTACAATGTCATTAGGATTAATTGTTAATTGTTCTCTGCAGTTCAGCCGGTCTTATCTCATTGATGTGAATTTTTCCTTCCATTTTTGAATTTTGGTGTTGAAAAGGCGGCACCATTTTTTGTAATTAGGTTGAGAAAAACTCAACTGTATAGGGACGTGAAGCTTGACGTTGGATATAGCCGTGAACGCCAAGTGGGGAGAATTTGAGGAGGTAGTGGAAGAAGAAGGAGATTTGTCCGTCGTCTTGTCGGAGTTTTCCTTAAGGGAGACGGGGGAGGACGACGGAGGGGGGTGGGGCTGCTGCGGCAGTAGGCTGAGAGAGAGAGAGCAGCGCCGAGAGAGGTGTGAGCCGAGAGAAAAAAAAATTAGGGTTTTGGATTTGGCTCTGATACCATGAAGAATGAATATTTTCGATGATTAAAAGTGTAGGAGTACAACCGTATATATATAGACAGGACGGGACTCCTAATACGAGTAGGAAACCTATACAAAAGGTAACTACCAATAATACAATGATAGAATAATAAATACATTAAATATACTTAACATAAATATAAATGGTAAATATATTTAACAGGTGTGTTATTTAAGTACACTGAACTTTTTTTTATATATCGGTGAGTTGTTTTTTCCTTCTCTTCTCTAGCTATTGCAGCTCTGGCTTGTCAAATGGGAAGGAAGTCGTTACACTGAAGAGGGAATGCCATGCCCGCAGGCTAGGTGACTCTCAGAAATAGACATTTTACCATCCTGGCCTCCCATTCTGGCATGGATTGCAAAATGTGAAAGTTTTATTGAAGAATATGATCTATGTGGAAAAATCATCTTGGTTTGAGTTTTTACAGAATTGTGTTTTCATTTTTTTAATGGATATTCGGTGAAACTTATAGGATGCAGGATGTTTGATTCCAAAATCATCCAACTCTTATGCTATGCATATCCAATTTTTGTGAATTTATGCTGCATTCATATGTGTTGCTGATGATCCAGTGTTGCATGTTTTGTGGTTTGCAGATGTTCTGTTAAGGGTGTTACAAATTGTTCAGCAACTTCTGCAAGAAAATCGTCATGGTTCAAAAAGAGACATTTATTACATGCACCCTTCTGTTTTTAAAGGTGAGTCAAGAATAATTGCCTCTCCTTTTTATAAAAAAGACTTCTGTCTTTTTCTTATTTAAATGGAAACATGAGTTGTACTATTGAACTATGAACTCACACATGTTCAAGAATCAGATAGCAATTTGTTTTTCAAATGGATGCATGACTTGTGTTTCAAATGCCATCGAGTCAATATTTTTTATTTTTTTGGAAAAAGTGATACGCATTTTGTTTCAATTATATGAATCTTCCTGTGGTTGTCCTTAAAGCCTAGATTTCTCCTTTACATTGCCTTTTACAACTTTCTATTGTTGCTTTCCATTTCTTGAGACAGAACAAGCAACTGTTGACCGAGCAATTAATGATATTTGCATACTTCTGCAATGCAGTCGACATAACTTGAATGTGGTATGATCTCATATTGCTTCTCATATCCTTCTATGTCTAGAAACACAAGACGTAATCTAACATCTAAATAAAGATATGTGCATATGACTATAATGCAAATTATGCAACCCTTGGATCTTAGTACGAACCCTCTCAGTAATACCTCTTTTTTTGTCTTTTGCAGGTTTCAGTTGGGAATGGGTGAGTACTCATGTATAATGAGAACAATTCTCATTTATAATGATACTATTACTACTTTCTAAGGCTGTTTTGACCATAAATTAGAGCATCATTTTGATTTTTCGAGTATATTAACATAAAACCTGAAGTTATCTGCTTGATGCATGGAAATCCCTCTTTTTAAAAGAATCATATTTGTATACAATGCATTTGGCCGGAAAGCATTATCAAAGTCCAATGATAACTTAATAGTGTAATTGGGTGTGGATATATGATGTTGTTTTTCCTTTTATAAATTAGGGAAAAAAATTCCAGGTCTTCCTTGAGGCATAATCGCATCCAAGCACTGTTTTTTATTCATTTCTATTAGCCCAAAATTATTCCAAGGTAGGCTAGCTACCATACAAATGTTGCATTAAGTTGAATCAAAATCTTATGAAAGGACAACAATAGTAGCAACAACTACCCTTAGTCCCATATCACTGGAGAAGACTAGAGGACCCAAGATTCTCATTTTTCATTCTTTTCAGTCATGTACCATACTCTCATATGCTCATTGATGGAGTATACCACCTGGACCAAGTCGTCCAACCCAAATGATCGGGCAATGTGCTTCATACTCTGCTTCCATCAATTGGTATGAACCTGGTGGCTCGGCGGGTACACCTGGTCAACGTGACAGAGCGGCTAGCTGGCAAACCACAAGCCTAGGACTTCTAGAAGTGGGTCTAGGCTAGCTGCAATTCATCCAGGCTCGAACATGTGTCCCCAGGACGTGGCATGGATCTTAACGACATAGATACTAGACACTTCTCCTCCTACCTTGGAGAAGGGGGACTCATTCTGACCATTCTAGAAAAAGGTTCCTAGAGTGTCAGAGCCGCTCCAGGTTTGTGGATAGCCTGCCAAATTAAAGCTTTGTACTAGCAGCGTCAGGGCCTTCACCCTTGCAATAACCACAGTCGAGCTCTTGCCTAGTCTGCATCAATTAAAGCACCCATCTCCCTTCCCCTTTGGCAAGTTTACCGCCTAAAAAAGCATGTGGTTTTCATGTTCCGGGTTTCCTCGTATACATAACTGTCTATCATCTGGTGTTGAATCTGATCCCTTCCAGGTTGAATGGTTGATTCAACATCATGGCTTGGCCATATCCGACTGGTAGACACCAGACCCCGGTTAATTACCACCATCACTCATTAAGTTCCAATTCTGTAAGGTCTCCTTTTACCCCTTAAATCAGTGTCATTATTGGCAGACCATGGCTTCTCTGTATATATTCAACTATCTATTGAAATGTTCTATAAATAATTAAACAGTCATCTCGCCTCTCCATCCTTCATTGGTAATTTTCTTGTGTCCTTTTGTATGTATCATTGAATTTGTGTTCCAAAGCATTTGTTTCAACCTTTTATCTTTCCTGTTTTTATGTGTTTGATCTAGATTGGTGATGGGCTGGCTGCAATTCGTAGAAGCCGGGAGAAAATTTGACTGTATTAACAGTCCAAACACAGTGAGCATAACTGCATACTATTGCTACAATTTTAATGTGTTACTTCTTATGTTGCATGTGATCTCCAGATATTGGCATTCTTGCAGGCACATCCCATTCCCGTTTATGTAGAAGAGGTTGAAAGTATACTTTTGAGAATGCCGTGGCATGTTATAAGTCAATTGACCATAATATTAGTACATCAATGTGATTTTTATAGTGTATTAACATTTAACACAAAACCTGAATTATCTCCATAAATGTAACGCAACCTACTTACTGAGAGAATACATATGTATACAGTGAATTTGATACTAAAAAACACTTTTTAGATCTGATTCCCAATTATTGTTTACTTTTGGCTAACTTTCAAATTGTCTTCCCATTCTATTATCTTAAAACTTTGTCTTCCCATTAATAGGCAGCATAACTATGACTCTCTCAAATGGGGTATCACAAGTTCGAACTCCAATGGGGGCATTGGCTCTTTGTGCTCTATAGGTTGAAAAGTATGTAAGGACAAATGCAACAATATAGTAAAGTTAATGGTACTCAAAAGAATAAGAACAAGCTGCTTGAGCAGTGTTTGGAGATTAATCTTATTTAGCTAAACTATGCCATCAAAGTTTCATGTGTTTTATCTCTTTTATTATTCTGCTTTATTTATTGTTGTTATTATGTTTTCTTTTTAGTTGTTGTATAGTATTCAATATTATTAGCCGGGTACATTATTTATGGTTCTGTCTAGTTCATTTGTTTTCAACCAGTTCATTTCAATAAATATTTTGTCTTAGTGTGAAAATTACCCGATTTTCCAAACAAGTGGTATCAAAGTTGAAGGTTCGTCCTCGATTAATTTATAGTTGTTGTAAAATTGAATACTATATATTGAGTTGTAACGGAAACTAAAGATCAAGAAACAAAGGATATTGTTTAAAATATAAGCACAAGGACATCATGCTCTTTCTCATCATGGTCGAGGTTCCTGTTGTCTAATTTGAAATTGGTGGTGAAAATATTTGTTGATACTAGCTATTTAGGCATGTGGTAAGGTGAAGTCTTGGACACTCTTTTCGAGAGTGGAGATATTGTTATTGAGTAAAAGAAACCAGAAGAGTTTGGATATAGAGACTTGGAGTATCATTAATTGGTTGGTGTGTGGAACCATTTGATTGTGCCTGCAGAGCAAAGGTAGGCTTTCAAAAATGAAACTTTTGCACATAAATTATGGAAGGCATTCATGGACAAGTTTCTTAAAAGAGTGGCTAGAACATGTTCTTAGGATGAAAAGGTTCCAATTTGATCACCAACTAGGTATTATTATGAATGAACACATCACTATGTCGAATCAATTAGCAGCAGCCCGTTGAACTTATATGTGAAATTGAGGATAAGGATCCAGCTTTGTTGTTGTTATAATCTCTTTATAATGATTTGAACATTTGAAGATTGCGTTGCTTCATAGGGAGGAGAAGTGTCGTTAGATGCTATTTGTTCTTCTTTGTATAGTCAGGAATTGAGAAAAGAAGATAAGATGAAAAGCATGTTAACAATATCAGAAGAAACATTGGTGAAAAGAGGTCGTTAGCAAAGGCAGTCAAAAGCGAGAAAAGGTCCAAATAAAAAAAGTTGGGTCGTTGTCAAAGATTAGTGTACAATGCAAATGTCGTCCAAAATTGAAGATCAAAGAAAGGTCGCCAGATGCAAATGTTGCACAATGCAAAAACAATGTGGAATCAATTTTTTTAGTGGTTTTTCCTTCAATATTATCACATCGAGATGTGTGGGTATTAATGGAATTTGGGACAAGGTTATTTGGGAATGGGTGGGAGTGACAATCAATGGAGGATAATCTGCGAGAAGATAGGCTGGGGTTTTTCGCAACGTGAAGTGGAGAAATGGAGAGGGCCCAGAGATGCGAGAGGCTTATGGTAGTGGGCGCGAGAAGGGGTAGACCTAAGAAGAGTTGGAAAGTTGTGGTTAGATATGACTTAAGATTTCAGGATCTTATCGAGGGTACGACTTAAGATTGGAATGTCGGGAGATCTAGGATTACAGTAGTTGGGCAGACTTCTAGGTCTTAGTGGTTTGCTCTTGTCTTTGTGTGCTTCACGTTTAGTTGCTAATTTTAATTTGTGTACTTCATGTCTTTGTGCAATTATTTTGCCCTTTGCTCATACTTTCCTCTTATTTTGTACTTTTGCATGTGGTTTGTTGGTTTACTTCATCTGTGCTTGAGCTGGGGTCTTCTGGATATAATCTCTCTCTATTTTTGGGCAGGGCCAAGGTCTACATACACACACTCTCCTCAGACCCTACTTTTTGTGGGATTTTACTGGGTTTGTTGTTGGATTTGAATGTTTACTATGAAGAACAAATATGATATGCTTGAAATTTTTCTTAAGAGGAAAGCTCAAGCTAAAAACTAGGCAGGGAGGAAGATTAATATTCTCTAAACAGTTAATGGTCAGGGAATACAATAACAATCCATTCCTGAAGGTATCCCAAAATTATGTTACACTTTGGCACTTCACTATTAGAAAAGCACCGCAATAAAATGGGGTTTTAGAACATATGAACACGTCACGTATGGAGAAATTTTGTTATATGTTGTTGAATGTTGGTTTAGTAGAAAAGTTAGGCCTACATCTCATCAATCATTTTTCCATCATCTGTTAATAGGCAGGAAAACTCTGTTTAAGGTATGGTCTAGAAAGCTTTATTCATGGGCTTTAATGCCAGAATGAAGTGGATATGGTTTGTGGAATTAGACGATTATCGGTCCAGGTGTTAATTATCCTTGATGAATCTACCAAATTGAACAAGATAAATCTTGAAGGTATTGAAAGTGCTCTACAGTAGATGCAGTGTACTTCGAAGCCGGTTGAGTTTGAGTAGACAGTGGTGATCGTAGTGTGAAGCACCACTAGTGAGACTCCTACGACATAAGAAGAGTTTGATGAGGATTGAGGAAGAGGTTCCAACCCAATAACCTCTACAGCAATCGGTGTCCACTGTCGTCAGAAGAAAGAGACAAGAAATACATAAACCTGCTCGTTTCATCGACATGGTAGCCTATGCACTTCTACTTGTTGATGTTATCCAAGTGGTTTGGATAAGCTACAGTCTATAACTGACTATTTGTAAACTTTAGCAAAAGCGCTAGTTAGCTAGAAGTCAACCCTGCAGTCAAAGGTGGCTTTGTCTACAATAGAGGCAGATTATATGGGATTACATGGGTTGTGAGGGAAACAACTTGAGGTATCTTTTGACAGCCACAGTGCTATTCATTTAGTGAAGAATCAAGTCTTTCATGCATGCACAAAACATTGATGTTCGGTATCATTTGTGCATGAAATTCTCAAGGAAGAGGTGATACTTCTCAAGAAGATTCATTGTTAAAAAATCCAAATTCTAGGAAATGCAAAGTTTGTGGGGGGGGGGGTCGGAAAATAAATGGATTATGGTTGGTGCAACTATTTTCTTGTTTTATGAGGTTTAAAATATATATATGTAATGCTAAGGAATGAAGAGCAGATGTCTGGATACAAGTGATACTAAACTCTTTGCATGATGTTGAATATTGTTAACCTCAGTAGCTTTCTGGTAATATTCCCTTAATCACTTGCACAGATATTATCAGTGTTGCCCAGTATATTTTAGTTGTGGAAAAAGAATCAGGTATTACTTTTCTTTTGCAGAGTAATGATATTTTATTACCTCCATGGCTCCATCTAATTTATATGTTCATATATTCATATGCAGTATTCCAGCGACTAGCAAATGATCAATTCTGTAAAAGAAATCGTTGCATTGTCATCTCCGTGAGCTTCTCATGTCAGCACTCTCTAATTCATCATATTAGGATCATCTAATTTATTTATTATTCACTTACAGGGGAGAGGCTATCCTGATGTTCCCACAAGGAGGTAAGAAATGATTGCCAAATTAGTATCTCAAGTATTATTTGAAATCTTACCATTCTAATCGTATTGTTGACAGATTCCTGCAGCTCCTCACTGAGAAACTGTGCCTGCCTACATATTGCCTAGTAGATTGTGATCCGTATGGCGTTGACATCTTGGCAACATACCGATTCGGCTCCATGGTGAGATTTTTTTAATCATTTTTTTTAAAGCATTCGATCCAGCCAAATAGGCACGCAGATGACACCTAGTTTGACAATTGTCAAAGTGTGTCAAACAAAGTGACAGCCACTGATAACAACACAATTCATTCGACTTGTTTCTTGAAGCAAATAGCGTATGATGCAAAATTTCTACGTGTCCCTGGGATAAGGTGGCTTGGAGCTTTTCCTCTTGATTGTGATACCTATTGTGTTCCAAAGCAATGCCTTTTGCCCTTGACAGAAGAAGGTGGTTGGGGGGGGGGGTTCTTTTCTGATGAATTATTGATTTCATTATGTGGTTCCTCAATATTCTAACACGTAAAATATAATGTCAGATAAGAGGAGAGTTCAGGCAATGTTACAAAGATGTTACATGCAAAGAGAAGTGCCCAAATGGAGGTTTGGCTTTTTATTGATATTTCATTTTTGAAGTTTTTTTATTTTTATTTTTAATTAATTATTTTTTTAAAAAAAAATGTTAGGATTGAACTAGAGGTGCTGCTAGAGAAAGGAGTGAAGTATGAGCTAGAAGCGTTATCTGCCTGCTCACTTTCATTTTTGACGGAGGAGTATATACCTTCTAAGATTCAAGGAGGAGGGTACATATGAAACATATTTACCACCGTACCATTCTTCTCTCTCGGCTACCCTTATAAGTACTTTTTTGGTTTTATTCCTGGACAAAGGGTATTTAAGTTATTTTGGAAAGTCAGAAATCGACAGTTCACAAGTGTGGTTGTAACTGGTAGCAACTTGAAACCTATTGCTGTTTAAAAAATTTACTAAGTTTTGTTATGAAATTTTCCAGTTGCTATAAAGTACTAAATTATATTCTTGTGAGTGTGAGGGGTGTTCTTTGAGGAAGCATTGATAAAGGCTATGCCTTATGTCACGCCTAAGGCACTAGTAGCTCTAACTAGGGATGTAAACAGATATTAATCATCTGATCGGATGCGTCATTACCAAATTTGTATCCGTTTATTTTTGTCGGATATTGAATTCGATTACGGATCTTGACGGATACTGAAAATCAAAACCGTATCCGCATCCGTCAGATATCGGCTGGATACCGGGTATATCCGTATCCGTTTCCAATTTTAAAAACCAAATTAAACAATACTTTAATTTTCGATTAAACTAAATCAAAATATTATTAAATCAACTACAATTTTTATGGGATAATTGTTTTTTTTATTTTTTATAGTTTATGATATTTTATGCTGACTTCATATCATAAAAAGATATACACAATATATATATACACATATTTTTATATGCCTAAACATATTTTTATGTGTACACATAAATTTTACATATAAAAATGTCTTATACTTTGAAATATCAATAAAGAAACAAAATATAAAAATAGGAAAAACTATATATAACAGATCGGATACACAGATAACCAGTTATTTAAACGGATGTCAATGTGGAGCGGATTATTAACGGATCAGATGTATGATTACCAAATTCATGTCCGTTTAGCAATCGGATATGGATAATAAATGCTTTTAACGGATGTGAATATTTTCCATATAAACGGATACGGATGCAGACGGAAATTGAATTTTCGGTTATCCATTTACAGCCCTAGGTCTAACTCTCTAGTAGTAGGATCCTGTGCCTTAATATTAATATATTCAAATGAAGAGTAAACACCACCTATAGTTAAAAAAATTACAACTATCATTTTTTTTTATCACGGTCATGTTTTACATCTTCAATTGTGTGAGTTTCTTCTGTTTAATAACATACGAAGTAGTAGTTTAATGTGAAATTTGCACTACATAGGACTAAAATATAATGACTTTCCTAATGTAAACCTTAAACTTTTTTATTTCCTAAATAGGACTTAATAATGACCTTGTGGAAGAAATAATGTCCAGTAATGATGGACATTTAATTGAATAATGACTACTTGATAATGACCAAAGGTCCTACATTGGGAAATAAAAACATATGGTCTTATATTAGGAAAGTCATTATGTTTTAGTCCTATTTATGTAAATTTCTCTAATTTAATTTAGGAGTACTATTTTTTTCACATTTAAACCTTTTTTGCATAATACTCCGTTAAAAAGTACTCTCTGGTCTTAAAAAAAAATTTCTGTTTTAATTTTTTGGTCAAACAGTAAGATTCTTTGACCACAAATTAAATATAATCTAAATAAATATATAACATAGAAATTTGAACCCAATTATATTAAATTTATATTATAAATAATATAAAATGAATCCAATTATATTAAATTTATAAAATACGCATATTTTATAATATAAAATGAATCCAATTATATCAAATTTATATTATAAATACGCATATTTTTTCACAATATGTAGTCAAAGAGTATCAATAAATATTCTCTAGGCCATTGGTATTTATACCAATATTGTTTTTACAATATGTGGTCACGTGTACGTATGTGTGACTATTGTACATACATTAGAAAAGAATCATAATTTCAAAAAAAAATCAACCACAATATGTTGGCGCTCTTATATATAGAAAAAATAAAAAGGTGTCAAGTCCTCATTTCATGTAAGGTAGGGTTATTGTTTGATAAAAGAAACAATCGGCTAAAAATAAGAGAGTCGAAAATGGAGGTCACGACAAATGCGGAACATCAGTAGAGAGTTGATAGACGAAGAACGAGGCGCACGGGAGGATTATAAAGTAGGCTACAAAAAAAATTGGGCACTACTACATAGCAGTATTGGTTATCTCTAAAAGTCTGGTAATCCCACCATGGTAAACCGATGCTGGCAGTGCCTCTAGCGACGCCACATGCGACCATGCCCCTTTTTCTCTTGCATTCGCCTGCACCCACACCCAGGTTAAGAAGTCTAGTTACACAGCTTGATAAATATAATGGTTTGAAAGAAAGAAAACAAAAACAGTGAATGAACGGATCAAATCGTTTTAACATGTCCCGTGTTATGTCTATGCAAATAATCGTGTAGGGAATTTTCAAATCATCGCAGTTCACCTCTGGTGTTCCTTGGACCGTTCAATGAACTCCTTGGCAACATCGTGTCCTTGATATGAAGCTAGAACAGTTCGAATATCAGCTGGTCTATGCTTGGCAACATCTGCATCAAATAGTATGGATCCATAAATCCTACTTGTTGAGGGAGAAATTATAATTTTTTTTTATCTTTTACACCAAAACCAACATCAACAACAATAAACTTCATGCTGAGTAAAACTTTAGAATGGAAAAAAGATGGGCAATTACGTACATTCAAGAAATGGAATAAGATCCACAAGTGTTGTGTCTTCAACTTCTCCTTTCCATGGCTTGATTTCCATACAGTTCTCTGGTTGAAGGCTACTTTCAAGTGCATGACCACTGATATATATAACCTTCTTGGGATCTCTGTTCAGCATAGAGAGGTCCTGGAAGCAGATATTATTCATTGGTTACAAACACATCATCATCGGTCAAATCCCAAATGGATGGTGACCACGACGAATGAGAACACACACAGAGGAAATGCAATCAAGTTCCCAGTACAGGAAATAATTCAACCTAAGTAATGTAAATTACAAGTCAAAAGACAAAAACTAGCAGTGTTACATAATGATGGTAGAATTTAATCAAGTGGTTTGACACCATTGCATGAAAGTAATGCGCAATGGGGACATTGACAGCATTGCATTATTTTTCATACATACAATTCAGCTAGGGCAACTGAACTGCTTCAAATTACAGCAATAAAATGAGATGTAATCCTGAAGGCATGAAAAAAACCCAAGAACTTGGAGAGCATGTCATAGTATTGAACATCATCACTTCAACCTAGAAACTTCAAAAACAACCACCACTAAGGTTGGTAAACTTGAGCTCCTAGGTAGGATTGGAAAGTGGGTGGAAGATCGCAAATCGGGGATCTTAAATCGGATCGTAGATCCTAATAGCGGGTAGAAATTTTTAAAATGTACATCTAGAAAACATCTTGATTATGAAACGAATAGTCCTTCTCATCACAACAAAAGTAATACTCCCTCTATCCCTAAAAGAAATACCCTTAGCGGTTTACGAGGTATAATAAAGTATTTTTAAATTTATTTAATTGGAAAGTTGGTATAGAAACAAAAAATAAAACTTGCATATTTAATATTTAAAATCTATATAAAAAATTCTACAAACAAAGAGGTGGCATGACTGCTATTTTATCAAATGATCAATGAAAAAGCACATGTGAACCAAAATTATCATGATCCTAGAATAGTAACAGAAAATGTATTTTTGCAATGGTGGGAGTAGTTCATAACTTCCAAATTTGAAAACATCCAAATAAACATAACTTCAGCATAAAATTGCGTAAGTATTGAAGAGTAATTAAGTAAGGTGCAAGGCGGAAGAAAGCTAAGTTTTAAAAGGTAACTAATAAAATGCCGGACTGAAGAAGGATACAGTGCTGAAGAGTAGGATTGTAGGAATAATTGATAGCAGAGTATGCAAGACTAATTCAAGATTTGGAAGCCAGATTTGTTTGATTGAAGACTGAACACTAGATGTAGAGGAGAAAGACGGAGAACTATAGAACAACATAGAAACAGACACCATTACTTTGTCAAAATTAATGAGGAAGTAGGCGTAAGAGTTCTTGGTTTGGAAGACTTCTTATATGTGTAAGAAGAGGATGAACAACACATCTAAAGTTGTGGTACGCCTTATGGTGTTTCTTTCCTGTGCCCAACAGAATTCAATTTATTTTCCTTTCATCTCTAATGGCCAACGGTATGATCCCCAACCCGACCCGACTAGATATTTCAGAAAATCAGATACAGCTGTGATCTAGCATTCTGTCTGTCTCTAACATGCCTCGCAATTTTTTATTGAAGCAGCAATTCAGAGAGTTCAAGGCCTCCTGACACATAACATCAGACAATCTTATCACCCTTGACCACACCAAAAACTGTTAAACAAACATGTGAGGTCGTAGCATGATTTTAAAAAGCATTTGAGACGGTTAGGCGGTCTCTTTAAGCCCTAGTAGTGAATTAGTCATACATTTTCCTCTTTTCCTCGCATCACTCTCCCTCCTCATCTTTGAATTTTATTTAATTTCTCTGTGGTTTTCTTAACTTAAAATTTATCTATATTTATAGTTGAAATTTAAATGTACTAGTCTAATTTTGGTTATGAAATAACTTCGAATCCAGATTCTCCTATTATCAGGATTTTTACATCCTATAATTGCTGAAATTTCTTGAGTTTTTAAATACTACTCCAAAGATTAGCTGAAAATTCTCATGTTCTTAAATTCAATTCAAAGAATGACATACTTTATTTTTGTGTGAAACTTTATCCATATTTAAAACGTAAGTCATTATGTGCACGCGATATGCCACCATTGTAATAAAACTATCACGGGCAGCATGAGTAAGTTAAAAGACCATCTTGCAGGAACTCGTAAAAATTGTCATTGTATGAATTTACGACTTATTTGACATAATTATGGATTATGCATTTTGTTTTGCCTTGGAATGTGTATTTTAGCATTATCTGCTACACCTCGAGGCTTACGCCACAAGGCATCTTGCTCCAACGCTTAGAGGCTAGCTTTTTTCCTTTCAAAACCTTGGGTCCCACTGGTAGGGTTTTGAAAAAGTGGTAGACTGGTTGTAAGTGCAAACTTAGCCCCAATCATAAAATTATTGAGGTTGTTTTCAAAAGACCATCCACACAAGAAAACATAAAATGAGTTAGAACTTTGAACTCTACAAAAGTAAAGAAGATATCAGATAAACAACAATTTCAATGTTTAATTCATCAATTCTTGGC